TTATTGATTAGTCATAGAGTAGGAATACCCACGTACCCTACCCTATAGACCGCACGTACTGATATTATTATTTGATATGTATTATCAAGTGTTTGGGATCACACGTTAAAAGGTAAGACCCCTGTCATGCACAAGTCTCTTGAAGACTTCTGAGGGTTGATCATAAGGGGACAACCGAGGGGACAACCCAATGATGGATAAGAACAATTTCAGAACAATTTTAGAACAATCCAATTGATCCAATCCAATTGATCCATTCCAATTGATCCAATCCAATTGATCCAATACAATTGATCCAATCCAATGATCCAAAAATTGGTATAATCTAAACTTTGATGTTTTTAATTGAGGATCAGTTAGAATAGATTTTGATTGTTTGTGGTTTTCACACGGTTGTTATCACATCAATGTCATTCTTCAATATTTGCCGTTTTATTCATTCCTACCCAATTCCTCCACCACAAAATCACAAAAAACGTGACTATCATACATCTTCATTAGGCTATCAGAACTACTTTAGATTTTTCAATTTTTTTTTCGGACATAATTTAAGGCTAATTATCCTATTGCCAAATTTATTTCTTTAATTTATGCAATAAAACGTGGATTTGTAAATGAAAGTTCAATCACAAAACTAATTATACCATTGCTGATTTTTTCGCAAACCTAGTAGAACCAAATTTCAAACAGAAGGGATATAAGGATATTGAGCACACCATAATTTAAGGCTAATTTAAGGTTCTTCATTGAACCTGAGATTGAACCTATAATCGATTTTTTTATTAATCATTTTCGGCAAAATTTTTCCCAGCTTCAACATGAGCAAATCAAAAGAGTTTATTCATGAAATGATGATCATGATTTAAGGCTAATTGAAGGATCTTATCGTAGCCTATATCCGATTTTTTAGCAATTATTTTTTTTTAAATAATGATTTTTGCTAGCTTAACCAAATCTCAGATGGAAGGAATAAAAGGATATTGAGCACACCATAATTTAAGGCTATTTCTAGTCTATTTGTGGAGCCTATTGTCAAATCTTTTATTCATCATGCTCACATGTTTCAGAAAAAATGTCCCAAATTTTTGCAAAACAACTTGGATTCTGCTAGCTTAACTTCAAGCTAGCAGAACCACTTTGTAAATAAAAGTTCAATCACAAAACTAATTGTACCATAATTTAAGGCTAATTCAAGGCTCTAATCCTAGCCTATTACTGATATTTTCACACATTGTTTTTTTTAATCATTGGATTTGCTAGCTTAACTGTTGAGCTAGCAGAACCAAATCTCAAATTGGGGGAATATAAGAATATTGAGTACACCATAATTTGAGGCTTATTTAAGGTTCTTTATTGAACCTATTATCGATTTTTTTGTAACTGAAATTTTCTGAAATCATTTAAGGCTAATTAAAGGCTCTCATCCTAGCCTATTGTCGATTTTTTCGCACATTGTTTTAAAAAAATCATGCATTTTGCTAGCTCAACCATTAAACATCGGCATTATGCTAAGATAAGAGCCTTAAATTAGCCTTTAACTATGGTATAATTAGTTTTGTCATTGAACTATTTTTGTTTTGTTATTGGGTTGTTATGTTCATGTTGGATTTGGAAAATTTTCTGCAAAAATGATAAACAAAAAAATCGATGATAGGCTCAATAAAGAGTCTTAAATTAGCCTTAAATTATGGTGTAGTCAATATTCTAATATTCTTTCTATTTGAGATTTGGATATGCTAGAGCCTAATGGTTAAGCTATGAAAACCCATGATTTTCTCTAAAAAACAATGTGCGAAAAAATCGGCCATAGGCTAGAATTAGAGCCTTGAAATAGCCTTAAACTATGGTATAATTAATTTCGTGATTGAACTTCTTTTGATTTGCTATTGGTTTGTCTTGTTTTTTGGATTTAGGACATTTTTTGTGAAACATGATTAATTTTTTCAAACAATGTGGGAAAAAATTGAGAATAGGCTAGGATGAGAGCCTCTAATTAGCTTTCAATAGTGATTTAATTCATTTGGGAAAATTTCAGAAAATGATTCACAAAAAAATCAATAATAGGTTCAATAAGGAGCCTGAAATTAGCCTTAAATTTGGTTCTACTAGCTCAATGGTTAAGCTAGCAAATCCCATGATTTAATAAAAAACAGCAATAGGCTAGGATTAGAGCCGTGAATTAGCCTTAAATTATGGTATAATTTGTACAATGGTTCAACATTTTTTTTTGCAAAAATGGAAGAGCAATAAATTCCACAATAGGGTAATAAATTAGCCTTGAATTAGCCTAAAATTATAGCAGAAGAAATTGAAAAATCTAAAATGGTTCTGCTAGCTTAATGGGGGTCCATTATACCAACTAAGCATCAGTTTATTAATGTTAAGGAATATGTGGGCACATAAAAAGCAGAGTAAATAAAAAAGTGAAAATTTATGTTTCCTGTAAAATAATCTCATACTGGAATTCATACCTAGTTACTGAACATTTCTTATTACAAATAATGTTGAAGTAATATTCATTTTCAAGAGAAAACAACAACTTTCCTGACTGATACCATGCAGACTAGGTATGAATTTTATCTGTTGAATCACAAGTTCTGGGAACTTGAAGTGATTGATTCAAGTACTTCATTGAAAACAATGATAGTTTTTCCAGGGACAAAAATTATGTAGTTTGTTGATGGAACCTCCACCTGTATCAGTAAATATCCTCAAATAGGTAAAAACTATCCTAATGTAGCTATTAGTACAAGACTGTAACCTTTGATATGTGTTATAAAACTAACAAAAAAAAACACTTGCAGAACATGACACACATATACTTCCAAAAGGAACTCTCTAATAAACCTTACAGGTGATCATAAATCAACATTGATTACAATCAATTCATTCTTTAATTTGAAATTCTCTCATTTGTAGCCCTTGATTACTGTCAGCTGTAGTAGCCATATTGATGAGATTTACGTCACGAATCCAGGGCATTGGCTGCCACAGGTGGATTATTCAAAAGCAATTCATTACCTGATGCAAGGCTGTCAAGCCGTCCACGTTCGAGGTGTCGATATCGGCCCCATTCTGCAACAACTTGAGCACTTCGTCTTTGTCGCCGGCGGCGCAGGCGGCCAGAAAGACACATCCCGACGAGAATTTTATCTTGCGCGATTGCTGTTTCGGCGATACGGGTTCACGGTTCGTGTCCGATTCCATCCATCGCTTCAGCTGTTCGGCCCTCTTGAATAGGGCCGAGGTGGTCCGCGTCTCGAGAGACATTTTTATTCAGGGTGTATTCACGCACATCCGATTATCGTCGACAAATTGTTAATTGATATGATTTCGATGAAAATTGAAAATTCCTGAATTCTTGGAACACATAACAGGGGTGCGGTTGGCGAAATACAAAATAAACGGCACAAAACAGAAAAGTCAGTTGTCAGTCAGACATCGTGAGTTGTCAAGTGCCAGTTTCAACTGTCAATGATCATAGCTGAATTTTGTTGCTGTCCTTCCTGAATGAGGTTTGCATGTGTGTGTATTTCGTACTAGAACCGTAAGAGGGATGTCGGCAGTGGCAGTGAAATGTTACGTTCAACGACAAGTCTGACGACAGTAATCAGACCAGCGACCACAGTATATACCTAACCCATCAGGCGCCTACCCCGGTTGCAACGATGGTTTACCTAGGCCACATGAGCAATGACGGCAAAATATGTAGACTGTCTGACGAGATAATCCGTCAGGCAGCATAGATATTTAGCCATCATTGATCTAACAATGATGGAAGTAAGATATGGTGTGCGTATTTGGCCATTATTACATATTGAAAATTTCAGAAAAATCACTCGACCGGACTACTATTTCTACATTTTCCCGCTAGATGGTGATGCTGCTATCGTTGCTGTGGCGAGTGGAAATGAAATGGCAAATGCAATTTTTATTGAACAACTCTCAATTCGAAAAATCTGCGATAATTTCAAAACTGACAGAAGTCATAATTATGCAAATAATTATGCAATGTCGCCATCTATTAGAAGATCAACGGAACCATTGCTCTCGCTGCTCTCGAGAGGTCGAGTAAAATTTCTGAAACAGAAGCCATAGATTATGCACTTAATCTCTGATCTAACTAATACATTCCAGTGACTCTAAATGAATATTTCACTCACATTACCCGTCATGGTTAGAGCTGATAATCCCATTTCATTGTGTTTAACCGTGACGTCATTTCTGTCTGGGTACACCTCCCCTACCTGCCCTAGGACCCTTAGGGTTTCCCAACTCTATAGTTAGTGAAGGTGGTTAAAGTTTAACTTAAATATCCTGTTGACAATTGATGAATGAAAAAATGGAGGATATAATGGGATCATCCAAAATCCAAATCAAAAATGAATGGTGTTGGATATTGACGTACAGATATACGGATAAACTGTGGTAGTGGGTAAAGTGGAAGGAATAGGATTTCGAAAATATTTTATATTGACGTCATTATGACGTAGTTGCCTCCCACCACCTTCACGAGAATATGATTGAAATATCCCTTGAGTTGTGTCTTCCATTTCAAAATGAGAAAGAAGAATATACCTTGAAAACTCCGATCGAAAATCCAAGCTAAGATTATCTTGTCATCTACCCAGGCCACGCCAAATCATATCTCATGAGAAATGCACGTAAAACGTGCTACGCTAGCAAACACACGGCGAACGGCAAAACAATTGAATGATTACTGGAATATACACGTAGTGACCTAGGTCAAGGCACTATTTATACTTGAAGATACACATAACAGTTGATGTGTTAATTCACGTTCAATTTCTGATTCTGCTTCACCAATCAAAATACAAAACGTAAAAAACAAAACGTAAAAAGCAAAACGTAGGAAGGTTGGTTGTGAACGCCGCTTTAGTGTTGTGTGCACAGTCGTGCGTTAGAAGCCAGAATGATGGATGTAGTATGCTACCAACTGTCGAGAGGTGCTCGTCACCGCACTGACGCACATGCTGATGGCTGACGCACGAGTCTGACTTTAAGAAAACGTCAAAATGTCGAAACAAAAACAAACTGTGGTTTGCGGTTTGCGGTCTTCTAACTTCTTATGAATATGATAAATGATATTCTCATATTAAATTACAGAAAATAAAATGTTTCAGTTTATGAACTGAATTGTAATCATATTCATAGACAAAATGGCAACTAATAATAATAGTTACAACTTCAAAGTCGTTCTATTAGGAGAAGGATGTGTAGGAAAAACGAGTCTGGTACTCAGATATGTAGAAGATTCATTCAATTCCAAACACCTCAGCACTATCCAGGTATTTAATACTACATCATACAAAGTGGCCTTAATTTGATATTCGAACTTATGGTTATAGGCGTCTTTCTTGAATAAAAAAATAAACCTGGATGGTAATCGCCTGAACTTATCTATATGGGATACTGCAGGCCAAGAAAGATTCCACGCTTTAGGTCCGATATACTACAGATCCTCCAATGGGGCCATTTTAGTGTATGACATAACAGACATGGATTCCTTCCAGAAAGTCAAGAGTTGGGTGAAAGAACTTCGAAAAATGCTTGGCACTGAAATATCCCTTGCTATTGTGGGTAATAAAAGTGATTTGGAAAAAGATAGGCATGTCAGCTTAGAAGAAGCAGAGAGGTAAACAGAACAATGACACTATAAGTTGAGATTACCAAATGGTTGACTTTCAGGTATGCAGAGAAAGTGAAAGCAATGCATTTCCAGACCTCAGCAAAGCTCAATAAGGGTGTAGAAGAGATGTTTCTGGCTGTTGCACAGAAGATGCTGGATGAATCCAAAGAAAAGGCTGTTCAGGCACCTCAACTGACAAGAAACAATTCCCAGAGGACTGTCACTGTTGTGGATGATGATGTGGTTGTCACTAATAAAAGTTGCTGTGCCAGTGGCTGAGCCATTTGTAAATAATACAGTAGGGTTTAGAAAAATATGCCCAGTTTTGTAATATTAAAAACAAGCAGAATACCTTGGACCCCACTGGGATTTTTTGAAATGTCTTCTGATGGTTTTACATTTCTTGGGATCATTCTGGAATACCATGGGATGGTTTGAAATATCAGGAATACTAAAGGGTTTCAAAGTATCACAAAGGGTACCCAGTGATTTTTTTAAAATATCAATAAATTTTTTGGAACTGTAGGAGCCAATATTCAATTTCTGAAACTCCTCAAAATCTTTTGGATTCCTTGGTAATTTTTTAACATTTCTGAGGACATCTTGGAATCTCAGAGATAACTTTGAGATACCTGGCATTCATTGAAATTTTTGAGATCCTTCAGAATAACTGGTTTATTTTGGAATACTTGGGAATTCCTGGAATCTCTTGGAATGTCTGAATTATTTTTGAAATTCTGGAGATTCCCTTGGAATAACTATGATCACTTGAATATTCCTGGATGCCTTAAAAATTCCTGACATTCTTCGAAATTTCCAGGATCTATTCAGAATTTTTGGAATTCTTGGGAAGTCTATGTAATTCTCTGGATCTTTTTAAGATTCCTTTGAATTATTTGATAATCATTTTACATCTTGGAAAAATTGTTAATTTCTGGAGTTCTCTTGAAATTGTTCCTAAAAATCTTTGGAGAAGTTCCTGGGAACCTTTCAAGGTTCCTGAGAATATTGATGTGAATCTCAGAATTCATCTTATTAATTTCCTTGAAATATCTAGGATCCCTTCAGATTACCAGGAATTCTATCAAAATCCCTAGGATACTTTGGATATCCTAGAATATCTTTCAAATTCCTGGAATCTCTTGAAATTCCTGGGATATCTGTGGAATTCTTGAGATCCCTTTGGTATTGCTAGGATTTATTTGAAATTCCTGGGATCCGTCACTTTGGAATTCCTGGAACTCCTTGGGAATTTTCGGGATCATTTTGATATCACTGAGAATGTTTGATATTCCTGGTAAAATTTCAGAATTTTGTCAATTTCTGAGAATCTTGAAAATCCGAGGGTCTCTATTGATTTTTTTCTGAATCTGAAATTTCTTTGAAATTTCTGGGAATTTTTTAAATTGTTTTGAAAATCTTTTAAATTTTCAGGAATCCCTTTGACATGCTTTCCTTATTCTCCAGAATTTTTCAAGTTCTGTGTAGAAAATTTTAATCAATCATAGTAATGCAATCCACAGATACACTGTAGTTTGATTTAACTATTTTTATAGTGTAGGGATCCTTATTAATCAGTTATACAGAGTGTTTCAAAATGATGCTGTGAAAATGATACTGCAGCTGGTAAAGCATGGGAAATAAAGATACCACATTTTTTTAACTCAATAGGGGAAAATAAAAAAATATTCAGTACTGGTATAAACACATTTTCAAAAGGGGATGCCACCTTACAATTTTACTCAATGGTTTTTTCTCATAACTTTTTGTGAAATATATATATACTGTGTGACCCATTTAAGATGGAAGCACTCTTATAAAACTTACATTTTTCAACCGATTGGAATGATTTTTTTTTTGTTAGGTAGATATTCAAAAAGTCTATTAGGACACCAAATATCATGAATAAATCTCCATTTGCAGAGCCAACTAATCTGATTTTTCAAGGTCAAAAATCTAAAAAAATTACTAGCGATTTTTTTAGAAAAAATCTGACTACACCACTGGATTTGTGACATTTTCAAATGGGTAACATGTAAATTACGTTGAAATGCGTCAATCAATAAAAAAGTTATAAAGGAATGAAATTTGAAAAATATGCCGTTTAATCAACCCACCAATTCATGTTCAGGAATTTTATGAAAATTCTGTATACTCCACTGGATTCAGGATGTCTTGAAATATTACTGATCACAGTTTCATCGAAATCTGTTCAGTAATAAAAATTCATGGGTTGATTAAAGGGCATATTTTTCAAATTTCATTCCTTTATAACTTTTTTATTGATTGACGCATTTCAACGTAATTTACATGTTACCCATTTGAAAATGTCACAAATCCAGTGGTGTAGTCAGATTTTTTCTAAAAAAATCGCTAGTAATTTTTTTAGATTTTTGACCTTGAAAAATCAGATTAGTTGGCCCTGGAAATGGAGATTTATTCATGATATTTGGTGTCCTAATAGACTTTTTGAATATCTACCTAACAAAAAAAAATCATTCCAATCGGTTGAAAAATGTAAGTTTTATAAGGGTGCTTCCATCTTAAATGGGTCACACTGTATATATACCGGGTGACACAGGGTATCGGGCCACTCCTGTAACTTCTGCATTCGTCAACGGTTTTTTCTGAAATTCGGTACAGTTATATAAGTAACTATTTCGGATTTGATCACAGTACAATCCAATATGGCGGACTTCCGGTTTTTCTGGAAATTCCAGCAATTTTGTTTTTTCAAATGGAACAACCTGTATATTTTTACATATTCAAGTTCAACATGTCAAAACAAGTGCAATCTTGATGTCAAATGTCATTTATTCCACAGCCTACCTAGTTGAAAAATTATTCTAACTGCAAGGAAATTCATAAACTATAGTTGTTGATTTTTGAATGTATACAATTTGTTACTGCACCGAAAAACAAAAATGATATGTCATCTTGTTCCTTAATGTATGTTTTAGAGAGACGGGTAGGTGGCCCATAGGGGTTCCATTTGAAAAAAAAATAATTTTTGATCAAAAAGTGATGTGGCTGAATTGATTGCTGGATAAGTGACAAAAAAAATAATTTTTCATAAAAAATTATGTTCCTCGATTATGTGTGACTCATTGTGAATAGTCTTGACCACATCTCATTTATCCACGAGGTAAAATGAAAAAACAATGTTAATTTAATTTTTTTCGAAAAAATGACATTTGAAATAAAGATTGCACTTGTTTCGACCTGTTGAACTTGAGTATGTAAAAATATACAGGGTGTTTCATTTGAAAAAACAAAGTTGCTGGCATTTCCAGAAATACCGGAAGTAATGTGATCAAATCCGAAATAATTGCTTATATAACTGTACCGAATTTCAGAAGAATCCGTTGACGAATGCAGAAGTTACAGGGGTGGCCCGATACCCTGTGTCACCCGGTATATTTCTATTCTTCCTCAGGTGAAGCAAAGACAGAACTACATGAACTTTTCGAAAGTCCTTGATCAGTTTGTTAGCTTTATTTTGATACACCCTGTATATTTGAACTATGATATTGCTCTTCCAAAGTTGAGTATTTTTTTAAGATACTCTGTATTCACTAGTAATGTATCAACTAGTGTCTATAATTTTGTGATGTAATATATATATTCCTATTATTTATATTTAATAAATTTGAAATTGTCAGTTACTTTTCTGCATTCTAATTTTCTTATAATACGATTTACTTAGGCATTCAAATGAATTGATTCTCTTGTGATAAGTCATGAAATGCAACCATACACATTATACAAAGTGTTCCATTGAAAATAACAGAGTTGCCTCAACTTTCTGATACAAGCGGCAACACTGTTCTACAGGGATACTGATGGTAAAGGGCTTTCACGTTGGGTTGATACGAAAGCGCTGAACGGACATGATACTTTTTTTTATAATTGCCAGTTTGAACTGGCATAAAAAATTATTGATATCCCCGATTTTTCGGACCTCTGAAAACGAGACGATGATGTGACGTCAAAACTTTAATACTGAAACAAGACTATTCCAGACAGAGATGAATGATACATGATTTCTGACAGAGTGAATTACCGCGAGATCACAGTTGAAAGAATTAATATATCAGTTTCCTCAGTCTCCGTCGGGCGTTTGGTATTTTCTTTTAAATATGGCGAGATGAGGTATCTACGTCATAAGAGGGTCCGTTTTCAGAAGATTCTATTATTTATGCCCAAAAATAAAACATTCCAGTTAATTTTTCGATCGAATTATGTCCTCAATCATTATTTATGTATAAAAGGATCATTATAAAAATGGTTTGAGTTAAAAGTTCTACTAAGGTGTACACGCCCATTACTTTCATTTTTTTTACCATATTGATTTTGAGGTGAATATGATATATGATATATTTACGTACGGAAGGATCTAGTCATGTTATCGCCATCTAGTGACGCCAAAAGACTAATGCGAACCCGAACGATTATTTCGACCAACGCAAAGGGCGAGTGGACTGATAATGAATTATTGGCATTCAATTACTCCACTGTGTCGTTAGAGACCTATAGTATATTGTTCAACAAGAACGGAATGATAGTGATTTTCCCCGAAAATTAAATTTGCAGCATGAGCCGTAGGCGAATAATGCTGCAATCATTCGAGTGGGAAATTAGCATTCCTTGCGAGTTATACACCATGATTTTTCTGATTTCCTTTCAAGTAATGCGCATCTATTAGACAAAGCTGTCATTGCTTGAACTGTGAAATTCCATTTGCGGGGTCCTTTCGTACGAGAGCGCTAAATGCCAGTTCAAACTGGCAATTATGGCTAATTGCCAGTTCAAACTGGCAATTATGGCTAAATGCCAGTTCAAACTGGCAATTTATAGCTAAATACCAGTTCAAACTGGCAATTATGGATAAATGCCAGTTCAAACTGGCAATTATAGCTAATTGCCAGTTCAAACTGGCAATTATGGATAATTGCCAGATCAAACTGGCAATTATGGCTAATTGCCAGTTCAAACTGGCAATTATAGCTAAATGCCAGTCCAAACTGGCAATTATGGCTAATTGCCAGTTCAAACTGGCAATTATGGCTAATTGCCAGTTCAAACTGGCAATTATAGCTAAATGCCAGTTCAAACTGGCAATTATAAAAAAAAGTATCATGTCCGTTCAGCGCTTTCGTACTACGATAGTTGCGCAATACTTGGTAACAATGTCGTGCCAAAACTGCACATCGAAAAATACTGATAACTTCCGAAATGGGCGAACTGCGTTATTGATTTAAGTTGGCAAAACTGTACACCGATGCCAGATTTATTTGACATTTCTAGAAGCGATTTCTTGTGATCAGCTGATCTCTGGGAATCACTCATTCTCATTACTGACAATTTGTACTTTCAAGGAATTTTTTGTGATTTATTTGTAGATCATAGGTGAAATTCGATTTATTCAAAATGCCTAAACCATTGAGTGCGGAGGCGCAGGAGATGGTGGTATCATTGTTACAATATTTCGAAAATGAACGTGATAATGATGGCCCATTACTTCCAATGACTGCTGTTGTTGAATGATGGTATTAATAATGATGTTTTGTGTTGTCCGAATGATCAGTGAATAACCATAATTCACTGGTCTAGAGTTCCTAGGGTACTCGATATAACAAGGAACTTAATACCAATGAATAATGGTTATTCACCACTATTATTCACTGGTGTGAAAAATGACTATTGTTTTGCTTGAGGAAGTACAACAATCGTGGACAAATAAATTGATATAACAGGGGCTGTGATAAAACAGTTGTTAAGAATAAATTTATATAGGAAAAAGTCAAATACTCAAAGTGTCATAAGTTATAAAAGAGAGAAGTGACGCACGCAGCCGCGGAGCAGCGAGTGCGTAATTGCTTCTCGACACGCATTACGTACTATAATTTACCTACTGCCATAGTACATAAAAAAAGTTTCGACATACAGTAAGAATTATAATGTTTGACAGTTATGTCATCCGCTGTTGACGGCGATTACGCGATCATGACTGGCAGAATAAACGAAAACTGTGCGATGTGCTTACTGTGCGTAAAGAGCTGCTTACTGAGGCTGTATCTCGTGTGTTCTTGCCTACTTTCTATAGTGGCCGTAGGTGAATGTGTTTTCTGGGAAGTCAATAATTTAATCGCCGGTATTAGGGCCGGCTGGCGGCCGGCTAGACACCTCGACGCCGGTATCAATAATCAAGGTTAAGATTCAATAAGGTGCATACTCAAAATGTTACAACATGAGAAATTTTTATTTACAAACTTGACAGAAAGGCGAATCTTAACAAGAATACGAAAAATGTTTAAGAGCGCCGTACATTATGCTATTTCTCGGCAAGTTTGAGGCAATGCAATTTTCTTGCAATTTTTTCAATTTATTGCGAGTCGTCGTACATTGAGATATTTTTGTCATATTTTCTTGTTCATATTCACTATTTTCAGGTTTTTGAGCCTTCATTGTACTTTTTGAGGTTATTTGGTGTTTCAGGCCACGTTATGAAGAAAATTTGTATTTTATCAAGATGCTACATCGAACAATGCGCATGCGTCTATGATATTTCACGGCAAGTTTCATGCAAGTTTCGCAATAGAACCAATCCTATTTTTCCTGCAATTTCAAGGCAAGTTTAGTAGAATTTTTAGTAATATTCATCATAGCATCTTGATAAAATACAAATTTTCTCCATAACGTGGCCTGAAACACCAAATAACCTCAAAAAGTACATTGAAGGCTAAAAAAACCTGGAAATAGTGAATATGACCAAGAAAATATGACAGAAATATCTCAATGTACGGCGACTTGCAATAAATTAAGAAAATTGCGAGGAAATTGCATTGCCTCAAACTTGCTGAGAAATAGCATAATGTACGGCGCCCTTCTGAAAATTTTACTAAACTCGCCTTGAAATTGCAGGAAAAATAGGACTGGTTACAAAACTTGCATGAAACTTGCCGTGAAATAGCATAATGTACGGCGCCCTTTAGGGTTAGGATAACAAATTAATAACAGGTCACTGACTTAAAGGGCGCCGTACATTATGCTATTTACCAGCAAGTTCGATGCAATGCAATTTTGAATCAAACAATGCGCATGCGTCTATGATATTTCACGGCAAGTTTCATGCAAGTTTCGTAATAGAACCAGTCCTATTTTTCCTGCAATTTCAAGGCAAGTTTAGTAATTTTTTTAGTAATATTCATCGTAGCATCTTGATAAAATAGAAATTTTCTCCATAACGTGACCTGAAACACCAAATAACCTCAAAAAGTACATTGAAGGCTCAAAAAACCTGGAAATATGACAGAAATATCTCAATGTACGGCGACTTGCAATAAATTGAGAAAATTACATTGCCTCAAACTTGCCGAGAAATAGCATAATGTACGGCGCCCTTAAACTGAAAATATCGTCCATAGGGATAGTTGTTGCATTTTTTCTCAGCATAAATCGAATCATCTATCACAGCAGAGCCTTTTCCAGCTCCTCAGGAGCCTTGTCGAATATCAGCTGGGGACTGTCATATCCGTTCGAGGGATCGTGAACTGCTACGTGCACCTGCCGGTAGATGGCCAACAGCACTTCGAAGGCGCGTTTCTGCACCACTCGCTTGTGCTTGGAGGAGCTGAGCAGGTTGGTTTGCTGCAGCAGCAAGGCGTCGGGATGCGTGGTCAGATGGCACATTTTCTCCTTGAACGAGAGAGAACGCGAGATATAGTAATACAAGGTGAGAAAGCCACTGTAATTATGTTTTTCCTAGGAGCGTGCGGAAGAGTAACTTTACCTACTACCAATATGTAATGTGAAATATTACGATACTGATTTTAGTATCGTAATTAGATACTTTACCGCACTAGTGAAAAAAATATAGTTACAAACTTTAATTTTTACTCAAAAAAAAGAAATGAGAACCAATTTATCATGAATGTATAGCAGGTACTGAAGTTTCGATTGTTGCATTCGCCGTAATTTCTATATCGGAATCTAAACTTTCCTGATCCGAATTCATGCCGATGATTTTTTTTCGAACTGAAATTAACGAATCGAAGTTGACAGTTCGCCGAATGAGTGACATCCGAAAACACATAATATTCTTAATAAATCGTTAGTTCAAGGAATATAGAATTTTTTTGAATCTATAATTAGCTTTTTGGTAGTAGGTAAAATATTGTACTATATTCGTACCGTGAACCCATATAACGATAATCGATGGGTTATCAAACTCGGCCTTCGGCCTCGTTTGACAAATTTCCCATCTCATATCGTAATAAGAGTCTTTTTCTACTCACATAACTAAAATGGCATTTAGCGTACGGATATGTACCACGCTAAATGATCGATTAATCACGGATTGACGATCTGTGATTTATTCAAGATATTAAACACGTTACCATGGCAACACGATTTCTTAAACACATCACCATGGCAATACAGTTCATTAAACACATCTTCAGTAATTTGACATGTCTGGTCTGTCAATTGTATTAACTGTCAACTGATATTTTCAAATTTAATATCATAATTATTCAAACAATATTCGTTTGTATCAGCATTCTTCATTGAAAATATATGCGAAATGTAGACGAAAGTGAAATCGAAGAGATGGTACTTGCGTATCTCCAAGAAGTGTAAAAATGAAGCATCCATCTTTGAGAACAATTTATTCATTCTGCGCTAAGCATGACAATAAACGTGAAACAAAGGTTAGTAAGCATTGGACTGGACACATCTACAACCATTATAACTTATACGTGTCTCGCTGGTTGCATGCATCAGTTCCATCTATTATGTTCTCAATTCCCATTCCTCTCGAATTATTTTGTAGGTTAGCAGGAATAGCAGGTATGTTGATGTAATTTTAGGAGTTCGTAGAAAAATCATAGTATGTAACGCGTTTATAAACTCTTCTAGACACTCGTTTATTAAACACTCGCTCTGCTCTGCTCCGCTCGTGCTTAAAATATTCGTAACTAAAAGGACGTTTGTAACACTTGTTACATAATATACTATTATGATACTCGTCTCATAAATATCTATTTCCGCATAATTTTTCGTTTTGAAAGTAGTACTTTTCCTTACGATTTTAGTTTTCCGCATTATTTTTACTTTTCCGCACGATTTCGAAGGAAATACCAGGAGACATGTGGTGATAACTGTTGGTACCAGAACGTACCCATAGCAACAGTTGCTATAAACTGACAGTAGTGGCAGTCAACAAATAAGCATTTCAGACCAATCTACCTTCCTCCATTCACTACACTAGTAATTCTCAGCAACAAACTGATCAAGGCATTTCTATAGTGAGCCAAACACTAACCAATCAAAATCGAATAAGAAACGACGTTCTTCAAGATGTTGCGGCATCTGCTATTTTACAGCATGCAACAAACACAAATTGCACTTTCAATTTCAATATTCACCATCGTTAATGTTTTAGTTATTGTTATTTGAATGTTCTTCAAATAAGTTTCCTATTATATCGATGGAAAAAATCTATTTTTCTACAAACCTCAAAAAATGACAAGGTTCGCGCATCGATAACAAACTGCGAAGTGACACTTTTTCTCAGTTTCCTACGTTACCATGATACCTTGCACATAACAATGCGCGAAGTAAAACAGTGCGCGAAGTACCTACTTCGCGCATTGTAATGTAAAATTAATGAGATATTTATATTTCAACTATATGGTCCTCAATCGAGTAAAAATCCATGAAATAATTTATTTCTGAATGTTCAACAATAACTTTTGTATTATCTCTTGAGCGCACGAAAGGAAATTCGTATTATGTTCGTGGTACATCGTGCGTACCTAGGGAGGATAGGGGGAGGCCTTCAAAGCCAGTTCAACACTATTTTTTATATCTAGCTAAGCATATTTTTACTTTAGAACTATATTTTATGACGTTTGTAGAAAAACTGTTGTTCGCAACTCGAGCGCGAAATACTTTGGTCATCACCAAAGTAGCATTTCGCGCTCTAGATACAAAAATAACTATTCATTATTTTTCAGTGCATGAAAATATCGTGCGGAGAAGTGACTTCACCGCACTAGTGCTGAAAAGTTACTTTTCCGCACGATTTTTGTATTGTTGAAAATAAGGATATTTAGGACTAACTGAATGATCCATGTAACTATTTTGTCTTATGTGTCATTTTGTAGCATCATTAGAAAATATTGTTAATAAAAACCTTTTTTTTATACAAGGTGATTCTAAAATAGGTGGTCCAACTTTGGGAGCATATAGAGTGGGAGAAATAGTTACGAAAACCTCCGTAACATTTTTTTCTGAAGTGACCCCTAAGAAAGATACAGCCCCTCAAAGGGGGGCCTCGGAGAATGATTTTATATTATTATCTCCAACACCTTGTATAATGAAAATCTGAAATTTTGTCCATCCACTTACTATTCAGTGCCGGTTCGAATGGAGGTAAAATCACCTCAAAATCAAATACAGGGGTGTGTCAAAATGGAGAGGTAGGGGGTAAAAATATCTCCAACTTTTTTGTTCATCGCAATTTCAGTTTTTTGACATGAAATTATGAAATCTCAGGGCTATTTTCATAGAAAAGGTGCTCTTGTTGCATCTCGATAAAATTAACTATAAGCGAATAAAATTTATTTTTTCAAGATTTCATTTAAATTGCGATTTTGGTATGTACTTAAGTTTAATTATCTAGGTCAAATCTCGCCACTGAATTTTTACGTACTTATAATCGTCTGATCAACTCAGAATCTGGCAGATGACAGTTGACAATGCGTTATGGCGGCTCCAATGTGGCTGACCAGATTTGTGATTATGGTTTGATTCGATTCAAAATTGGTATGTGAGGGTTTTTGGGGTTGGAAATTTAGAATTCGTTGTCGGAATTCATGAAATCAAAATAGCCGACGAGTTTTGTTATTATGAACTGATCCTATTCATTCCCTCATTTTCAGAGCATTTGAATAAAGGCTTGTGTTTTTTCACCTCATTTCATCTCATTTTACATTTCAATAGTTGAAGTAATGAAAGCTTGTTTTTATCAATATTTTTTATTTTAGTATTTTCAATAGGATCATAATCACGAAACTCGTAGTCTATTTTTAATTCATGAATTCCGACAACGCTTACAAAATTTCCAACCCCAAAAACCCTTACAAACCAATTTTGAATCGAATCGGACCATAATCACAAATCTGGTCAGCCACATTGGAGCCTCCATATTTTTTCTATCAAAAAGTCCATAACCCGTTGTCAACTGTCATCTGCCAGATTCCAAGTTGTAGAAGTAGGTAAAAATTCAGTTGCAAGATTTGAACTAGATAATTAAACTTAAGTGCATACCAAAATTGCAATTTAAATGAAATCTTCGAAAAATGAATTTTATTCGCTAATGGTTCATTTTATCGTGATTCAACAAGAGCTACTTTTCTATGTTGATAGCACTGAGATTTCATAATTTCATGTAAAAAAACTGAAATTGCGATGAACAAAAAAGTTGGGGTTATTTTTATCCCCTACCCCCCTATTTTGACACACCCCTGTATTTGATTTTGAGGTGATTTTAACTCCATTCGAACCGGCACTGAATAGTTAGTGGATAAACAAAATTTTAGATTTTCATCATACAAGGTGTTGGAGATAATAATACAAAATCATTCTCCGAGCCCCCCCCCTTTGAGGGGCTGTATCTTTCTTGGGGGGCACTTCAGAAAAAAAAATTGCCAAGGTTTTCGTAATTATTTCACTCACTCTATATACTCCCAAAGTTTGACCACCTATTTTAGAATCACCTTGTATATGATATGGACAAAAATACTCGTAGAAAAATCTCTTGCGGAAAATATCTTTTCCGCCCTTGCAACTGCCGTCGCGTGCGGAAAAGTACTACTTTCCGCACTTATTGTTAGGTAAATAACTATTTCATCGACCTCTACAAAATATCACATTTCACTTTCGAATTACTTTTCGCCCGCAGGCACTAACTTTTTCGTCCGCAAACACTTTTCGTTCGCTGCAGCGTTGCCAGTTCTACTGAATTCTCAGTAGATCTCCTGATTTGCATATTGATCTACTGATCTACTGAAACATTTCATAATCTACTGAAAAATATGTTGACACTTATTATTATAATAACCTACCTATATTATTATTAACATTGAGTTAATCACATGCACATAAATTGCATGATATTTCGGCACGCTCTGTTTGAATTAATTTCACAAAATAAGTAATGAATGTACATATAGGTATTAATGATATGTACAACCCAAAAAAGGACAATACTTCATTTGATTCAGATCAAATTCAATGTTTCATATTCCTCTGTTATAACCGTTGATTTCTTACGTTTGATTTTTTTTATTGGTTTTGTATTTTTGTTGTTCATTTTCACTATTCGTTGCTGATGTTTTTTATGTACTCAAATCTCCTATGTAACTGTATTTTGTGATATTTGTGAGTATTTTTGAATTGAGAATTAGGAATATGAATATTTTTGTACGGGAATGTTTGTTTTGTTTGTTTCTAGTTTGTTGGAAATAGGTTACTTTTCTGTTTACTAAAAGTACATAATGTTTTGACTTCATGGGTTTATTTCATTATCCTTTCTTGAAATTCGTCTAGGATAAAATAGATCTTTAACAGATCTATTGAAATCTACTGAATTTTTGACAAGGTATCAACTGATGTAATAAAAATCGAACTGGCAACCCTGGTCCGCGCGGAGAGTGAGTTGACTGTGACAAAAACTGCCATTTGCTGTTGTCGAATTATTTATTCACAAAATCCGATAGATTTCATGTGTGAATAGGACCGTGATGTGGATATAAGTATTTCGAGGTCGACGAAAAAATTTAATTTCTTTTTTTTACCGATGAGTTCTTGAATCCGATGATTTTTGGGGAGAGAGCATACTCGGGTTTTGGATTCAGTAAACAATTATGTTTTTATTGTATCATGTGAAACGTTTCGCCTATGGCCATAGGCCTTTTCAATCTTCATTTTTTATTTTCTACATAAAATTTACTGGTACTCAACCAGATCTATTTCTTGGGTAGCATTTTTTGTTTGTATTTTTCCTTTTTGTTCATAATTAATAACTTGTTTTCTTTCGTTATCTTCTATATTGGAAATTAAAGGAAAGCGTGTTCAATGTTTTTTTTTTCTTTAATTTGTGTATTTTTTGGTTTGGATGTGTGATATTCAATTCATTGACAGTGACAATGAACACGAGATATGGTGTTAATATTGGTTGAAATTACATCATACGGTGTCTTCCCCAGTTTACTAAAGTCGTGCAAAACTTAGATATTAGTTGACGACCATTCTAAGAAAGTAGGTAATGGAAGAAGAGTCTCCATTTAGTTTACACGAATTAGCAATGTTAAGAGACGAAATTTATATACAGTGTGTGCCGCGATTTCAACTCGCATCACCCTCCTAATTTGGAATCCGTTGACCGATTTTCAAAACTAGATGTCTTTGAAAATGTGGACAAATCTGGTAGGTTAAATATTTCCAAGGCCTATCATTGCTTGATGAATGAATCAAAATTTCAAAAACGACGATTAGGCAATTGTTTCCGGAAAAGTGGATAGCCTATTCGATTCAGGCATAGCTGGAATATCCCCCGAAGGACGTGGTTATTGGCCTGTTGACCTGTTGACCTACCAAAAAACTTCTCAAGTTGCTGGGTTCCATGCCGGGCAACTCTGACAGCGGCCCATGATTGCGTTCCTGCAGGATCGTGTAAATCGGCCCTACGTTCAAATTGGCCACCAACGAACTGACCTGCAAAAAGTCGGGATTTCAGAATTTCCTCAATACCATAAAAACAAAAAAATAGTAAAAATTGTGAAGAAGGTACAAGAGTATAGAAGTTACAAATATCTTGGACACATTTCAGCGTTTCCATGGAAGAGAGTTTGTTTCTCCTCAGCAGATCCAACAAGATGTGCTGAGACAATTTCTGAAATCATCATGTTGGGGATGCAAACCTACATACCAACACTGCAAGGAGAACATCTTCCGATGGTTCAGTAGAAACTGCTCTAGAGCTGTCGCTTCCAAACAGGCAGCATTCCATCGATGGCAGAAAAATCCAGGCCCTGAGACTAGAGCAGAATACGTCGAGGCTAGAGGCATATGCAATGAGACAATTCGATCATCAAAGGATGCTCATAATGCCAAAATAAGATCAAAACTTGCTGAATGTCCCAACGGATCCCGTTCAATTTGTCCTTCGCCAAAGCTGTAGGAAGAAACTTCACTTTCAGCTCGTTTCCTCCTCTAACCAAGGAAGATGGAACACTAGTTACAACTGCTCAGGAGATAACCAACATTTTTGCGCATTCATTTGCTGGAAATTCCAATCTGGATTCATCGGGAAAACAACCTCCAAACATAACGCCAATTGACAGTCATATGCCCGGGATCATCTTACGCCAACGTACTATAAGGAAGACTTTATTGGGCCTCAACACCAACAAAGCTTGTGGCTCCGACGTAATCCCACCGATTGTCCTCAAAAAATGGAGTACCCTCCATACCGCCTTCTCTTCCAGGGCTCCAATACCAGCCAGGCAAATCAGAAACGAACGAGGGAGAAATGTTGTCATAAATATGGACTTGGCAACAATTCTCGAATGCGGATCGAATAACTTGGTAGATTTCAATGCAAACAAAACACAAGCATGCCTTTTCTCTAGATAAGCACTGTGTCCAATATAAGCTTGTCAGGAGTGACCATACCTTTGAAGCCATCCATTTCGATGCTTGGTATTACTATCAGCAATAACCTTTCTTGGGAAAATCACGTAAGATCAATTGCTGAAAGTGCATCTCAAGAACTTGGTTTTCTGTTTCGGGCCAAGAGCTATTTCACTTCCAGTCAGCTGCTTATGATCTATAAGGCACAGACCTGTCCTGGAATACTGTTTCCATATTTGGAGTGCAGCACCCAAACATACCCTAAAACTGTTGGATTCTGTCCAAAAAAGGGCGATTCGTCTCGTGGGTGATGCCTCGTTCACAAACTCACTCACTTCTCTGGAACACCATAGAAGAGTTGGCGATCTTGCTTTATTTCATAGATATTTTCATCGACGATGCTCTTCTGAAATATCAACAATTGTTCCTCCCTTGGCAGTCCCCACGAGATTAACCCGTCGAGTTGAGGCTTCGCACCTCTTCGTGGTCATTTTGGAGACCTGCAGAACATCTCTTCTCACGATGTTCTCTGAACATTACAGGATATCCCTTTTCATGGGAACCAGAACATAAAAAAGCGAAGCATACAAACGGGTTGGAGTGTTTAGTGGGTATACCTGAAGTCAGGGGGACTCCCACACACAAGAGTCTCGAGATCATACCCGTGTGTTCACCGAACACGCTCGATCGTTACCTAAGCGTTGGGGAGACCGAGACGTAAGCAGGCAGTCATGATACAATGAGCGTTGATTGATATATTATAGCGTAAGCGTAATATATCAATCAACGCAATGAGTGGGCAGGCAGCATCTCTCATGCTGTCTTTGTTTTAGTAGTACGGGGTGGGCCACCAACAGTTTTCTTGATCACATTCCAACATTTTTTTTTTCGAATAAATAAGAAACATTTAATAGGCATCAAGTGATCTACTGCGACCTATCAGATAATGAAAGCGATGATTTGATTTGCAATAATTCGCTATATGTCACGACGAGTCCTACATGTAAATAGCGAACCACTCATCGAAAATCATGAAACTATATGTATGTATGTATGTATGTATGTATATTATATGCTTATGTTTTGTTGGCGAGCACGCTCGTTTTATTCAAATTATTTTCGATAATGTTCATCTGCTTCACTAGAAATTATTATTAGTAGTTATGTAGTACTTAGTAGTATAGTAGTAGCAGCTTTGTTATTCAAAATGGAACACCTTATATTTCATTACATTTTTCGATTCTTCTAATTGAGCTATGATTTCGTTGATCAAGCTCAAGGTATACCTATACGTAGAATGTGAAAAATCGAGATTTTTTTTGTATCGAAACTACAATACCTATATTGATTTGTCAAAATGGCTTACATGTGTCCCTATCCTAACATTCTATTTACTATCTACTGATGCCATTTAATTGAAACAAACACAGGGTGGATCAGATTTCAGAATTATATAAAAGAAGTACTAGTATGCCTACTGAAAAAATATATATTTGAAATAAACAAAACAAATATATCACATAAAAAAACACACTCTAATATTCAACATAAATTGAAATTCAATCCCACTGGATGTATTTAAAAATATAAACAGTGTGCATGTCACTTCTATAATGGAATATCAACCCGTATATCTAAGGTAACTGTTCAATTTTAAGGAGCGATAGATATATATAAAGTATATCCAATATCAATTGCAGAATATCTCACACTGTGCGGCGTCGGCATGTTTGAAGTTTCCTTTGAAGTCACTGCAGGTGCGGCACGAGAATCTGCAATTGATTTTGGATAAACTATACCAACTATGACCAAAGTGAGGTAATCTTCAGTGAAAAACACTGCTCTGGTCATGGACCCACCAACATTTACGGAAAATGATATTAGGAGGCAAGATAGGTTGAAAATCACTTCGGATTCGAAATCAGGACGTAACCCTGTACCTCGAAAACGAAGCAAGTTTAGGACACATGTTTATATGACCTTTATTCATCATATTATATCACAAGGAATCATCCCTTGAATTATTTCGGTGTTATTTAGATACACCCTGTATAGATCATTCTTCATCCCAATATAGTTATTCAACATTTTTCCCATAGCGAAGTTCAGCAAATACCGATGGCGAGAGCACTATGTTTATTGATTTGATGTCTACCTATAATATATGTAAAACAAGAAGGCACAACTACTAGTGTTCCGTTTCGAAGTACATTAAATTGACAAATTTGACTCCAAAATAATTCAGGCACGCGCCAATATTCATAACGTAGTTACTGCTGCCCGTTTACGTTTCCCCACCGCTTAGGGAACGATCGGGCGTGTTCGGTGAACACACGGGTATGATCTCGAGACTCTAGTCTCCCACACTATCAAATCGGGGATTCGACCCATATGATGTCCACAAAGGATTTCAACCACCTCGACGAGAAAAAAACGCCATGAGAAAAAAATAACTGACCTGTTCGGAAGTGAGCGTGTCGATTTGCGCATCGGACTGTGCCGCCAGTCTTTCCAGGCGCTCCTCCATGAACTCGAACAGCTCGAGGCACGTGTAGATCTCGTAGATACAGTTCAGCATGTAGACGGCCATATCGGTGGGGGGAAGGCGGGCCGCTTGCTCGTTCACCGCCCTCAGCAGGGGATCCATGATGCAGGTGGTTATCTAAAAAAAATCGTCAATTTCAGAAGAATTAATAAATAACGACAAATAATGATAATGATAATTTATTTTATACAAGGTGATTCTAAAATAGGTGGTCAAACTTTGGGAGCATATAGAGTGGGTGAAATAGTTACGAAAACCTCCGTAACATTTTTTTCTGAAGTGACCCCCAAGAAAGATACAGAACCTCAAAGGTGGGCCTCGGAGAATGATTTTGTATTATTATCTCCAACACCTTGTATATTGAAAATCTGAAATTTTGTCCATTCACGTAGGGGGTAAAAATAACCCCAACTTTTTTGTTAATCGCAATTTCAGTTTTTTGACATGAAATTATGAAATCTCAGGGCAATTCACATAGAACAGGTGCTCTTGTTGCATCTCGAAAAAAATGAACCATTAGCTAATAAAATTTATGTATTTATTTATTTTCAAGATTTCATTCGAATTGCGATTTTGGTATGTATTTAAGTTTAATTATCTAGGTCAAATCTCGCAACTGAATTTTCACCTACTTCCAATCGTCTGATCAACTTAGAATCTGGCAGATGACAGTTGACAATGCGTTATGGCGGCTCCAATGTGGCTGACCACATTTGTTATTATGGTTCGATTCGATTCAGAATTGCTATGTGAGGGTTTTTGGGGATGGAAATTTAGAATTCGTTGTCGGAATTCATGAAATCAAAATAGCCGACGAGTTTTGTTATTATGGACTGATCGTATCAGAAATAAAATAAAAAATATTGTTGAAAACTAGCTTTCATCACTTTAACTATTGAAATAAAAAAGTGAAGATGAAATAAGGTGAAAAAAGATAAGCCTTTATTCAAATGCTCTGAAAATTAGAGAAAAATGCTTTTACATATCTGATGAAATATTCTTCCACTTCCTGAAGCATTTGGAAGTGGAAAAAGATATCTAGAAGCATTTTTTTCCCCATTTTTAGAGCATTCACCTTATTTCATCTTCAATTTTTCATTTCTATAGTTAACATAATAAAATCTTGCTTTTAACAATATTTTTCATTTTAGTATTTTCGATAGGATCAGACCATAATCACGAAACTCGTCGTTTATTCTTAATTCATGAATTCCGACAACGAATCCGAAATTTACAACCCCGAAAACCCTTACAAACCAATTATGAATCGAATCGGACCATAATCACAAATCTGGTCAGCCACATTGAAACCGCCATATTTTTTTCTATCAAAAAGTTTATGACGCGTTGTCAACTGTCATGTGCCAGAGTCCAAGTTGATCAGACGATTAGAAGTAGGTGAAAATTCAGTTGCAAGATTTGAACTAGATAATTAAACTTGAGTGCATACCAGAATTGCAATTTGAAAGAAATCTTGGAACAATATTCGCTTATGGTTCATTTTATCGAGACTCAACAAGAGCTCTTCTTCAATGTTGAAAGCCCTGAGATTTCATAATTTCATGAAACAAAAACTGAAATTGCGATGAACAAAAAAGTTGGGGTTAGTTTTACTCCCTACCTCCTTATTTTGACACACCCCTGTATTTAATTTTGAGGTTATTTCAACTCCATCCGAACCGGTACTGAATAGTTAGTGGATAGACAAAATTTAAGATTTTCATCATACAAGGTGTTGGAGACAATAATACAAAATCATTCTCCGAGGCCCCCCTTTGAGGGGCTGTATCTTTCTTGGCGGGCACTTCAGAAAAAATGTTGCCGAGGTTTTCGTAATTATTCCACTCACTCTATATACTCCCAGAGTTTGACCACCTATTTTAGAATCACCTTGTATAAAATTACAAGAATTTTACACTCGTCACAGATACACTTCACAATCGAAACTACAGGCACTACAATAATACAAAAAAAAAATTAAAGTAAAACATGACACACGAGAATAAATCCATGGTTCAAATATCAACATCAGTATATCACGTATTTTTTTCTTAAATACTGAATAAGTTGAACCTTTATAGCTGTGTGGTAGGACATTATAGAGCTTAGCACTGATACATCTATATGAATTTTGTGTTTTCTCAATTCTACAGAATGGTATGCAGATATCATCACTGTTTCTAGTTGAGTATGAATATACAGTCTGTCCAAGATAAGGTTGAACAGCATGGGGATCTCGGAAACGGTAGGAGATACGAAGTCGCTTAAACGGGGAAAAAGTTGTGCATTCGGAGGCTCATATCAAGAGCCTTCGAAAATTTTGAAAATTATTTTTAGTTTTTGAGTTATATCGAAAAAAGTGAATTTTTGGAATTTCTATTTTATTTTTTTTCTCCGTTATTATCAGAGATACAGAAAAACTGAAAATACTTTTTCATTGCAACTCTTGATGAGGTTTAACGTGGTGATACCGATTTTTTTATGCGACGTCATCATCAACTTTTGTTTTTTAAATACGGTCCTGATAATTTTTTCACAGATTCTGAAAGGTTTCTTTAATCCTGAATTCAACAATGTACTATACAAGGTGATTCGAATGTGTTTCGACCTATTTCTATCCATCACCAATGTTTTTTCGAACTTCCAAAAGAAAAAAAGCCATCAGTTCCACTTATTTCTTATCATTTAGTGTCAAACTTGATGGATTAGTTATTCAATACTGAAAAGTGAATAAAAAATATTTCACTACATCATTCGATCAATGCAGCGTTTAAAATTGTTGATGAATTCTTACACGAATTACTTTAACAACTTAACTTTGACAATACCTACAGAGACATTCATAACAAATGTTCAAAATGATAACCATTATTTTCTGAACAAAGATATCCTCTTCTCACAGTTGTTTCTAAGACATTGACTATTGAATGCTTCGAAGACACTGTCCCTCAGTTCTTCTTCATCCTCAAAGTTATTTGCGTGTACAAAGTTCGATATATCCCCTAAGAAAAAATCCAGCTGTGTCAAATCAGGCGACCGCGCCGGCCAAGGGATAAAAACGCACGGACTTCTCTGGAATTATGTACCGGAGCGCCATCTTGTTGAAACCAACAGAGTTCTGAACTTCCGCAATCGGTAAATCATCCAGAGCTTCCTCAAGATGATTCTCAAGCGAATTTCTATAACGTTCGGAAGTCTGTGTTTCATGGTAAATAGAAGGAACAATAATTCGTGTACCAAATATTGCAACCCACATATTAAAGCCGAAACGGTGTTGGTGTCTCGCTGTAATGTATAAATGTTCATTTTCTCGTGAACAATAATGTGTATTTTTTCTATCGAAGCTACCATGATTAGTGACCATGCTTTCATCAGTCCAGATGATTGTTCGAAAGAAATCTGCAAAATTTTAACATTTCCTGGTATACCACTCACAGAATGTCTTGCGCCTTTCGTCATCGCCTGGTTTTAGCGCTTGACATATTCTGAATTTGTATGGATGGAATTTTTGTTTCCGCAAAATGAAATGGGTTGTTGATTGAAACCAGTTGATGAGATATTAGTGTGTTGACTAATTTTCCTTCAAAATAAGTGGAACTGATGGCATTTTTCCTTTGGAGTTTCGAAAAAACATTGATGATGGCCAAAATAGTTCGAAACACAAATGAACCAACTTGTATAATAGATGGTTGAATTCAGAATAAAAAAACCTTTTAGAATCTGTGAAAAAATTATCAGGACCGTATTTAAAAAACAAAAGTTGATGATGGTTCCACGAATACGAAACGTCGCATGAAAGAATCGGTATCACCACGTTGACCGTCATCAAAAGTTGCTATGAAAAAGTATTATCAGTTTTGCTGTATCTCTAATAACGGAGAAAAAAAATAAAATAGAAATTCCAAAAATTCACTTTTTTCGATATAACTCAAAAACTAAAAATAATTTTCAAAATTTTCGAAGGCCCTTGATATGAGCCCCCGAATGCGCAACTTTTTCCCCATTTAACCGATTTCGTATCTCTTACCGTTTTCGAGATCCCCATGCTGTTCAACCTTATCTTGGACAGACTGTATATGATTATGCCGTACTAAACCATCTGTTAAACATTATTTATGGATGAATAGAAGGCACTCCATTATAAAGCAACAGGGTAATGGAAGAATTGATAATTTTTTAAAAAGAGGTCTACATAGTGTATTCTAATATATAAGCATGCATATTTTCATGGATTTCTCCCGACCCTGTATGTTTCGTACCGTTTGATGTATTTCTTCCGGAATCAAGGAATACTTTCTTCTGATTTTCGTACTTCCTGTTCGAAACTGTATTTTTTAATAATCTACCATCTTTAATAACTGTGGTAGAGGACGTAATCTTGATTTTGGCAAAATCTTCATATATGGTCAGGTCATAACTTTTGAACCACTGTGTATAATCGATTCATACTTGGTAGGCATATTCATAATTATTCAACACATATTTCTCATCAAAACTAAATGGGAATCAGATTCAGAATTCAGATCCGTCTTCAGTGAAAACAGAAAACTTCTTCTTTTTTTAACAGTGCGCATTCAATTTGAAAAATAGAATTTTTATTTAACTCGTAATTTTCAAAATCCAATTTTCCAAAAAAAAAATAACCAGTCCTCAAATTTCAACTTGATTAGAGCCGAATTAGGATGGATTTCGTTCCATAGAATAATTTGTCAATTATTTTAGATATTTTCGAGTGCTCATTACATTTTCACACACACAAATGTCAATTGGATGCGCGCTCATAAAGAGTAGGCAACACTGTTTATCATTTTCCTACTCTTTCCGGTTATCAAAACATATCTACAGATTTTGAGAAAGATTATATTTTCAGCCTGTGTTCAATTTTTTCAAATCATTAGACTTTCGAAAATAATACTGTCAGTATATCCGTGTTCAATACTTCATCTTATATTTTGTATACTATATATCTTTTCTTCCCGTATAATTCCATTATCATCATCAGTCATAGATGAATCATTTGTTATTAGTCATTCATTCGGGACCAGGTGATAAATCAGGACAGTCTTATATTAGATGCCATCACGTACAGTCGAATTTTGTGATCGACATTTAAAAAT